AGGTCGTGACATGGATCGTAAAAAGAAGTGTGCACTTCTGTTATTGCTTAGGAGATACAGGAAAAAGAAACAAAGAAGATTTTGGGAAGATAAGATTACGATGCGCGATGCGAATCAATTCGCAAAGTCAAAATCATTTATTTCAATTAGGCCAAAATGACACTTTTGAAAGTCAACAAAAAAAAAATTGAAAGTGAAGCTATTCTTGCTATGCGACGTCGCATCGCAGTTTTGTGTAAGAGCCCTCAACCCCCTCTTCTTTCGAAGTCGTTTAATTAATATACTAAAACCTTGTCCTAAAGTAAGAAACACATGCCAGCTAAGGAGGAAGCAGAGCGCGTGAGGGAACGAACCTCCTCACGCCCCGGCTGTCGTGAGAGACACTCCCGAGATTTTCCCCCTCAAAAGTCCGTGAAATCGAAAAGAAAACACGAGAACATTTTTAAAAACATATATTTTTATTAATGTTAAAAAATATTTACATTATTTATTGTAATACATTATAACTAAGTGTATTGACTACATATATTTATTACTAAACATCCCTAACTCCGCATTTTCAAAAACTTTTTGAGAATGACATAATAGTAGCATTTCAGTGAAAAAGTTGCCCAGTCGCGCCACCATAGTGTCTACAGAGATACACCAGAATAAGCGCTAGGGTTGATTTGACCGCCGACACATAAGTAGCTGTACCCAAATGCCATTTAGCCCTTGTCTACATGTAGAATAGAAAACCAAATTATATGGAATTGACGTAAATTTTGACACTTGTCAGTGTCATCCCCATACATTTAGTTTTCTACTCTCTCTGTAGACAAGCGCTAAAGTGGCGTTTGACTAAAGGCAAAGGTTACAATATATTACTGTCGTACCTCTCATCGCGCCACTGTAGTGTCTACAGAGCTACACCAGAATAAGCGCTAGGGTTGATTTGAACAACGACACTTAAGCCCAAGGATATATTAGGGGACAATTGTCGTACGATAAGTATCGGCAACTTGTCAAGCGTAGTCAGCAGATTTCGCCCGACCACTACATAGTATAAAACAAAGTCGCTATCCGCCGTATGTCTGTCGCTATGTATGCTTATATCTTTAAAACTACGCGACGGATTTTGATGCGGTTTTGTTTAATAGATAGAGTGATTCTTAAGGAAGGTTTATATGTATAATACATGCATTTTGCACGCGTTCGAAGCTGGGGCGGGTCGCTAGTATATTATAAGGCGACAACGCTCGCCTTATGTCCACAGCGACGTTAATGTTGTCAGACATGTCGACCAAAGTCTGGCAACGTTGCGCTACTTCACCCAACGTCGCTGGCGACACGTGTCGCAGGATATTGTCCTCTAGTGTATCCTTGGGTTATAGATTACACTAGCGACCCGCCCCGGCTTCGCACGGGTGCAATATGCATGTATTAAACATATAAAACTTCCTTCAGAATCACTCTATATATTAAAAAAAAACCGCATCAAAATCTGTTGCATAGTTTTAAAGATAAAGGCATACATAGGGACAGACAGACGGCGGATAGACTTTGTTTTATACTATGTAGTGATTATTCATTGGCCACCATGTTCTCAGCGGGTTAGATACAGTCTATATAACTGCATTCATTTTGTTTGTTGGCGCCTTCATCCTACGTCTATGGTCTCATAATAGGGTTTTACAACCATTTAAAAACCACAATTTACTGTGTTTTTATAATAACTATGGTGATACATACTAAATTAACTAAAGTTGCGGGTTATTCACGTGAATATACTGAGAAAATATAACCAGTGAGCCGCGCGACGTCGCCGCGACCGCGCACGCTGCTCATGAGGAAGAACCCCTCTGTGGTTCGAAACTAGTAGAGCTTTTCTCAGTATATTCACGTGAGTAACCCGCGATTTTAGTTAATTAACTGATTATATCGCATCGAAATCAGTGTAGCATTTTTTGACAGGGAAACATTATCTTTGATTAATATTTGAGATACATTATATCTTATATCATTTCCCTGCTTATGTAATACGTACCTAGCTGATTAATTGTCATTCCCAAATATTGATCTATCCGTCCTACACGATTCCATCATAATCGGCCCAGCAGTTTATGAGAATGTACAGAATGAATAACATAATTGTATTTTTTAATAACAAATTTACATTTAGAGTGTATGGGGGTGTGTAGCGCGGTTCAGAATATGATGGTGGCAATTACTTCCAAGTCTCACTGAGACTGGCCAAAATGCTTAGTTTCATACTGTATATTTTCAGATTCGAGTCTCGGGTTGAGTAAATGGTATTAGGCTCGCCCCCTATTACATGTGACTCATAACATATATGGTGAAAAATGGGTATTTTTTTATATTATATATGAGCATCTCTGTCGAACTTAATATTAGTATCCTCTCGTAATTCATCTTACCTTGTATACGAGTCCTATGTAATAGGGGGTGAGCCTAATACCATACACCGCCCACAAATCCCGTATTCATTAAAACTGCATCACTAAAATTTTTTTAATATAAAATACGAACCCGAGACTTTACACGACAGTGATTACAACCACTCGATCAACGACGTAACATAAGTAAGTTCATTTTACTAGAACTTGTAAAATACACAAAGTCACTCAAAAATACATTTTGAATATAAATAAATAAGGTGCACTTTAGTTAGACACTATTTCATTAGGTCTAGATAACTAGTCGCGCCACCAGCGTCTACAGAGACACCAAAATAAATACTAGGATTGAATCGTTTACCGGCACAAACTAGTTGCGCAACCAAGTAGCCACCAGGTGAGATACCCTCCATACATACATTTAAAGTGTATGAGAGCCATGCTTCGGCACGAATGGGCCGGTTCGACCGGAGTGATACCACGGCCGAGCAGAAAACCGACGTGAAACAACGCTTGCTTTGTGTTTCGTCGTGTGAGTGAGGTTACCGAAGACCCCCGCCTTCCACAATCCCTGAATCCTCAACAATCCTCAAATTCATACTCCCCAAAAAGCCGATAACGCACTTGTAACGCCTCTGCAGCTGTAGCTCAATACCATTTAGCGCTTGTCTACATGTAGAATAGAAAACCAAATTATATGGGATTGACGTAAATTTTGACACTTGTCAGTGTCATCCTCATACATTTAGTGGCGTTTGGCTAAGGGCACTGGTGTTCCAGGTGTCCATGGGCGACGCCGATTGCTTACCATCAGGTGATCTGTCTGCTCGTTTACCGGCTTATACCATAATAAAAACATTTCATTGATTGCGCTACCAGCCTAATGAAACAAGTATCTAAAACTTGAAAACATTTTCACTTTCAAAAATACATGATATACGAATTTCGATCTTATTCCTAATGAAATAAAGTAAAAAATAACATCGAGAACTAAACCAATAATACATTAAATAAAGAAAATATTGCATTGAAATGGCTTTAAAAGCGATTTATTGCTTGATTTTTCGCAAATATTTAAAACCAGTTAAACTTGGACTCGCATTGTATAATCTTTCCGCGCTTTCGAGGGTAATTTTATACTGGTTTTGCATCAGTCCAGCAATGAGATGTTCTATCCAGCAATAGGATATTTTTCTTAGTAGTGGGATAATTTGAACAGCATTCGTATGCTTTGCACAGCTTTTTAACCCAACAACGGGACATTTCTAGCCTATCAGTAAGATATTTTGCCCAGCTATGGAATAATTTGCACAGCATTCGAATGCTTTGCACAGCTATGGCATATTTAACCCAACAACGGGATATTTCTAGCCTATCAGTAAGAGATTTTGCCCAGGTACGGGATAATTTGCACAGCATTCTAATGCTTTGCACAGCTATGGGATCTTTATCCCAACAACGGGATACTAGTACCCTATCAGTAAGATATTTTGCCCAGGTACGGGATAATTTGCACAGCATTCGGATGCTTTGCACAGCTATGGGATATTTAGCCCAACAACGTGATATTTCAAGCCTATCAGTAAGATATTTTGCCCAGCAACGGGATAATTTGCACAGCATTCGAATGCTTTGGACAGCTATGGGATCTTTATCCCAACAAAGGGATACTAGTAGCCTATCAGTGAGATATTTTACCCAGCTGAGGTCTTTTTTGCACAGCATTCGAATGCTTTGCACAGCTATGGGATATTTAACCCAACAACGGTATACTATAAGCCTATTAATGAGATATTTTGCCCAGTTACGGGATAATTTGCACAGCATTCGAATGCTTTGCACAGCTATGGGATATCTTGCCCAGCAAAGAAATATTATGCTTAATAATAAGACGACACATTTATATTGCACATAAACGTAAATAAAAACTTGATAAAGAAAATATTGTCAAAATATTTTATTTTATTATACCTTAACATCACGCCTTTCAAACTCCAAAGGGATAGACAGAGATGTACATACATACACAATGTAACACCCACTTTCCACCGGTTATGCTATGAGTCCCATGTATTACGGGGTGAGTCTAACTTTAAATTTTTATAATACTTCGCACGGACGCTAATTCCATACTTTGCTATTTTTTTCAAAATATTTCTTTGATACAAACCTTTTTCCTGATAATAAGGACAACGATAAAAAAGGATGAAGACAAATCTAAGATCATAATTAAAGAATATTGGACACGTATTTTTTATCTATACTTTTTTATAATTATTTTCAAAATTGAAGACTTTGTTTTTTAATGTGGTTATTACCGGCACCACTTTGATCAAATTGAATAATTATTTTTGTGTTAGATAGTCCATTTACGAGGAAGACTACAGCAGCTGTAGCCAAATGCCATTTAGCGCTTGTCTACATGTAGAAGAAAAAACCAAATTATATGGGACTAGCAGCCCGTCCCGCCTTTGCACGGGGTAAACAATTATTTATTTTTGCAAATTTGGATTGTTGTAGTGACATAACTACAATAGTTGACTAAATGTATGAGGATGACACTTACAAGTGTCAAAATTTACGTCAATTCCATATAATTTGGTTTTCTATTCTACGAGTAGACAAGCGCTAAATGGCATTTGGCTGCAGCTGTAGGATATAAAATATCACGCTACGATAAATAGGACCCGAGCAGGAGGTGAAAGCGCGCGGTAGTAACTAGTAAAAAATACGTGTCCTGAATTTCTTTAACAGATATATTAATTTTACTCATCATCCTTTTTACCAATATGAGGCCATTGCCATTTCTTCGCTCACTAGATGGCGCTAATCTACCAAAAAATCTATTCGTCCAATCAAAGCAGCTGTCAAAAATGAAACGTCTAATGGCGCGATACAAGCTACTTCCCTATTGGACAAAGAACGAGACACACTAGCGCCACCTGTTGTCATAAAATACAGTAGCCTCCATCCTGATCGGGAATTACGCGGGTACATACATTTTCGGGGATTAATATTATTGTTTTGTATACATTTGGAGGTCCATACATATGAATTATTCAGGATATTTACAGGTTTTCGTGTAAAAAGTGTAATAGCGTCGCTTCGTAATGTTTTGCGGCGTGCATAGCTCGCAGCGAGTGTCTTTCGCCAGGGTAGACCTGCAAAATAAAAAGTAAAATCAACAATATAATTTTTTTAATATCACACGACACATAGTTTAAAATTAGCCATTTATTTACTGGCCAACCGTTTAGTAACTCTAAATGCAATCTCCAAACTGTTAGCCAAGTGTGGGGATTATGGTAGTCCCCTCTTGAGCTACTGTAAGAAGTTCCTATTTAGTTATATTCTACTTAATTGTGACCTAACTGCAATCTCCAAACTGTTAGCCCAGTGTGGGGATTACGACTCCAACATTTGGCTAAAATGAAATAAATATAATCCTCTAAATCGACCGAAATGCAACACAACCTCCAATCAATTTTCCAAGCATGGGGATTAGTGAAAACCTCTTTCAAAATTACAATGCATTTAATCTTCTACAATGTTGACGATAATGATGGTGATATAACAGACCTGTACTCGATGTGGTTTCCCCAACCGCACCAGCTCTGCAGTTAGCGCGGCGGTGTGACAGAAGTGTACATTCTCGTCTGCTAGTCCGTGGATGATTAGCAGTCTGCCTTCCCTGGGGATTGCATAGAAAAATAAAATTTAATACTATTTTATGCACCGTGAAATCTACTTCGTTTCCGTCCCGCGGCAAAACAACTTGCCATAAAGAATACTTTCGATGTATAAAGTAAAAACAAAAAAATATAGATAAAAAAAATATTCATGGAACTACGCACATGAAAAACTAGAGGTAAATTTGTAGGCACTATTCGCATCGCACGTGCCACCCGACGAGAAATACCTCTTCGACAATTACATGGCGTGATGTTTTGATAATGTACTATGAGTTCGTATGCGCTTTCGAAGTTTGCTTTTTGCAATGGTTCACCAGTTATTTTTTGTTTTAAACATTTTATTTCTTTAATTAAAAATCGCTGGTTACTCACGTGAATATACTGAGAAAAGCTCTACTAGTTTCGAAACACAGAGGGGCTCTTCCTTAAGAGGAGCGTGGGCGGTCGCGGCGACGTCGCGCAGCTCACTGGCTAGCGTTGGCGCTCGCGTCGGTGTCGCTACTTGCGCATCTAGCCCATTTTTTCAGTATTCTCTTTTCTCAATATATTCACGTGAGTAACCCGCGATTTTTAGTTAATTTAGTATGTCTCACGATAGTTATTGTAAAAACATTTTATTTCTTTGTAAAACTATTGTATTATCGAGACAGAACCATTTAATTCGGGACAAAAGCTAAATAGATTTCATGGTATATTAAGCTGACGAATATATTTGTTTGTTTGAACGCATTAAACTGTCAAACACCAAGCGGTCACCGGTGACCGCAACCTATTATTCTATAATTGTGTCTACAAAACCGGTACTCGACGAGTTAATCTTATCCGATTTCAAAAATTATTATCATATTGGTTAGCCTATTAATCGGAGAAGGCTATACAACATCACGCTAAGGGCACGTACACAAAACTGCTGTGCGAGCTCCTTCGACGCATCGCAAGAACTTGCGAATTGATTCGCATCGCGCATCAATATCTTATCGTCCCAAAATCTTCATTGTTTCTTTTTCTTGAATCTCTTAAGTAATAATAGAAGTGCACACTTCTCTTCTTCACTTTCACTTCTTTCGTGTCTTAGTAAAAGTCTGACACTCCCTCTCGCCTCACCCAGGCACGAGAAGTCGTTGGATAACTTTCCCCTCTCAAAAAAAAAGGCATCGTATAATAGAGCAACATTGCGCGCCAATAATAATAGAATAGTATTTACTTAGCAATAGTGATGTGAAACTAGTGATAGTTGGGCGCTGATGGTGATAATTGGGCGCTGATAGTGATAGTTGGGCGCTGATGGTGATAATTGGCCGCTGATAGTGATAGTTGGGCGCTGATAATTATAGTTGAGCGCTGATAGTGATAATTGGGCGCTGATAGTGATAATTGAGCGCTGATAGTGATAGTTGGTCGCTGATAATTATAGTTGAGCGCTGATAGTGATAATTGGGCGCTGATAGTGATAGTAGGGCGCTGATAGTGATAATTGGGCTCTGATGGTCATAAAGATAATTGGGCGCTGATAGTCATAGTGATCATTGGGCGCTAATAATGATAGTTTGGGCGCCAATAGTCTTAACAAGGGCGCTAGTCACAAATACTTACTGATCAGGAAAGAAGGGTGCATGAGCCAGTACGCTGGCCCTGGTATACGCGTGGGGACTCCTTGAAGGGGGGCCCATGTAACGCTCCGTGTAAGCCGTGTCGTAAAGACGCCAGCAGGTTACTGGCGCCCCTGCTACACAGGCCCGGAATATACCCGGTCTGGTCGCCAGGCCGAGTAGTGAAAGATATCCACCTGTGAACAATATCTATACATATAATAAAAATGTCGAAGTGAACAGTGTACATAACATAAAATAACATCACGCCTTTTATCCCCGAAGGGGTAGGCAGAGGTGCACATTACGGCACTTAATGCCACTGTACAATGTAACACCCATTTTTCACTGTTTATGTTATGAATCCCATTAATTAGAGGGTGAGCCTATTGCCATATACCGGGCACATCCCGGAATCCCAAACAATCCTTAAATTCCTAATCTCCAAAAGGCCAGTAACGCACTTGTAACGCATCTAGCGTTCCGGGTGTCCATGGGCGACGCCGATCACTTACCATCAGGTGATTGAACTTGATGTGATTTGTTCACTGACTGCAGACAGTTGAAAGGATTGAAAGTAACATAGGCTACTTTGTCTCTTCCCGTTACTTCCTTAAAATGGGGATAGAAGTCCATATGGATTACTAGCTTTTACCCGCGGCTTCGCTCGCGTCACAAAAGGATAAAAAGTAGCCTATGTGACATATACCAATACACACAGCGCCATCTATACCAATACTTTTGTTTTCCCTCGAGAATATCATTTTTTTCCGGGATAAAAAGTACTCTATTATTTAATCTGGACTTCTAACTTTACGTCTGCAAAAAATCAAAGCAATCGGTTTGGTAGTTACGGCGTGAAAGCAGAACAAACAAACTCACTTTTCGATTTATAATATTATAGTAAGGATTTACAATTTTCAAAGAATATAGCTAAAAATTGGCTAAATAAAGCTAAAAGTTAGTAAATTGTAAGTTAACTTACCGTAGCTCCACCCATGTATAGCTACCCTCTCCATGTCTATACAGCCAGTCTCCTTGGCCAACCATTGCAACACCTCGACCTGAAAAAATATAATACAATGTATCAGAATTCTGATACAATAGTATAGAAGTCTAATTTTTATTTTAATGTCCGTCTGGTAGATTATTTTAAAACATTATACAGGTTATTTTTTATTTTCTTACAGAAACAAATACTTTCGACTATATGTTGATTTGAAATATCGCGTGACGTCACTTCTAGGGTGATATCGTTTTATACGTAGAAATGACTGCGGACTGCCTCGTTGGCCGAGTGGTTGCAAGTGCGACTGCCGGTCAAGGGGTCTCGGGTTCGATTCCCGGGTCGGACGAAGTACTACTGGGTTTTTATAAATTCTCAGTAGTAGTACGGAGTCTGGAATTGTGCCCGGTATATGGGCAATAGGCTTACCCCCTATTACATGGGACTCATAACATATATAGTGAAAAGTGGATGTTACATTGTACAGTGGCATAATGTACACCTCTGCCTACCCCTTCGGGGATAAAAGGCGTGATGTTATATAAAAATATATAAATGACGTTTTTGCATGTATTATTATGACCTATACATGTTTACCCTTTACCTTGCTATTTTATGGTATAGGAGGCAAACGAGCAGACGGATCACCTGATGGTAAGCGATCAGCGCCGCCCATGGACACCCGCAACACCAGAGGAGTCACAGATGCGTTGCCGCCCTTTTAAAAAGTTTCGACTTTGACACGGTTCGTGCGGTGGCTGGGCAACCGGCTGCCGTGCAACGTGTCGCGGGTTCGATTCCCGCACGGAACAATACTTTGTGTGATCCACAAATTGTTGTACCGAATCTGTGTGTCATGTGTATGTGAAATTGTATGTTTGTAAACGCACCCACGACACAGAAGAAAATCCTAAGGTGGGGCAAGATGTAAAAAAGGAATCCGCTCTTTTCTTGAATGTTTGAAGGTCGTATCGGTTCGGAAATACCGCCGACGACAGATCATTCCACAGTTTTGCTGTGCGAGGCAGGAAGCTACGTGAGAACCGCACAGTTGTGGCCTGCCGACCATCTGTATGGTGAGGATGGATGTATGTATGTGTGTTTATAACTGACCTGATCATCCAACTCGATCTGGCCGAGCTTGCCCTTAATGGCAGCCTCCCACGCCCTGCCGCGGTGCTTGGAGCCGCGCGAGTCCACCGCCACTACGTTGAAACCGCGCGCCGCTAGCATATGCATGCGGAGCTGGCGAATACCCTGGGGATTAATGACAAGTAATATTGTAGGTCGTCGCTCCTTCATGAAGGTGCGAGTTCTAAACCTACCAACGGCAATCATTCATTTCATTCATTCATTCATTTCATTTATTTATTTATTTTACACCACTGACAAACGGTGAAGGAAAACATCGTGAGGAAACCTGGGCTTATAATTTCTAATTATAAGTTTGTAATCGCCAACCCGCGTTCAGCAAGTGTGGTGATTAATGCTTAAAGCTTCTCCGTGTGAGAAGAGGCTTTGCCCAGCAGTGGGCACTTATAGGCTGTTGATGATGATGATGATGAATATTATATGGACCGATTATAGTCTGCCAAGCTTGGGGATTATAAGAAATCATTTTTAACGAGGGAGAGGCGATTGGCTGAACCGATTTAGATGTGATTTTTAGAAAAGTGTTACGCTTAGGAATCGGTTTTAATGTATTAATTAACCGACTACAAAAAAAAGGGAATTGAAGTCGATTACAAACAAGATTAAACTACAAAGGCACAAAACAAATTACGGTAAAAGATGTATAACATATGAGGGAGCACAATAGGCATGGCGACTATTTTTTAATTTTTTGTCCGTCTTTTAGATATTTTAAAAATCTTCGATACGTATTTTTTCTTTTTTCTCGTATCCAAAAAAACATGTAGATATTTTGAGTTAAAATGACGCGTGACGTCACACTTAGGTACGATTTCTCCGTAAGTGTGACGTCAACCTTATTGAGGAAGGCTATATGCTCTAAAATATCAAGCTACGGTCAGTAGGCGCGAGCAGAACGGGTCAAACCACGCGGAAGCAGACAGCTATAATTTATAATTTACTAGCTTTTACCCGCGGCTTCGCTCGCATCACAAAAGGATAAAAAGTAGCCTATATGTGACATATATCAATACACACAGCGCCATCTATACCAATAATTTCGTTTTCCCTCGAGAATATCAAATTTATCTGGGATAAAAAGTACCCTATTATTTAATCAAGACTTCTATCTTTACGTCTGCAAAAATTCAAAGCAATCGGTTTAGTAGTTACGGCGTGAAAGCAGAACAAACAAACAAACAAACTCACTTTCTTATTTATTTTATTTTATTTTATTTTATTTTATTTTATTTTATTTTATTTATTTAGAAAACCAACAGCGATACATATGATATAATACAAAATAAAGATATTACAGTTTAGTAAGGCTAATAATAGGTTTCCCTGCTTAACTTAATTTGTATTTACCATGCGAACGGACTTTAAACAATATTTAAAAATAAAGTTTTAATATAGAATTGAAAGTTAAATATACTACTTGTTATGAAAGGGAGATAATAATATTAACCCAATTAAAATATGAATTAACATAGTAAATGCTCCATGGTAAATGCTTTATGGTGAATGGAACAAAGTTGCCTGCTACTTGCCTTTATCAATTATAATATTTTTAACTTGGGCTTTAAAGCTAGGTTTTGTGCAGTTAAACACATCAACCTGAGAGAAGTCTTTGTTGTAGGCTCGCGCAATGCGAGCAAGTACACAATTACTAGCATAGTTAGTGGCATGCCTAGGTACATGCAATTTATTCTTTTTAACGTTCTGCTGCGACTTCGTACGCGCAATCCCGTTTTCTCTCGTCCCCGTAGGATTTTCAGGATTTTTTATGTCTTAAGAACCTTCTCCTGACAATAACAAACACAACAAAAATAAAATCAGCCAAATCGGTCCAGCCGGTCTCAAGTTATGGCGTGACAACGGGAAACGGGTTTCATTTATATATATATCTATATATATAGACTAGCGGACCCAACAGACGTTGTCATGCATATCTACTTCAATGTATAAACAAAAATTCATTCAAATTAGTTCAGCTGTTTAGGATAAATAACCTAAACATCGACTGCAGCGCCATCTGCCAGGCTCATTTGTAAATCTAAACCATTCCCAGATCCCCTTGAACACACACAAAAAATTTCATCAAAATCGGTCCAGTCGTTTGAGAGTAGTTCAGTGACATATACACTCACAGAAGAATTATATAAATAAAGATAGATATTTTATGGAGTTTCTTGCTCGTTCTTCTCCACTCGAATCGACATTTTGGAACGAGCGCCTAGCTTCACTGACGGACAGACTGACAGACTATTATTTATTTCATATTTGTTGATGTTTCAAAAGTACCAAATTATGGTTTAATTGAAATAAATGCTTTTGAGTTTGAGTTTGAGTTTACCTTGTAACTATTTGTAACAGTCTGGACCTCAGGTCCCCCATAAACGTGCAACACGGTAGGGCTCCGCCCCGCGCGGCCGCAGCGCCATAGAGTGCAGTAGGCCGTCGCCCCACATGATAGACGGGTCTCGAATATTTGGGGCGGAGGGATGTCGGACAGGCTTAGCGAACGTTCTGGAATATAACATGTTTTAATCGAACCTGTCAAAGTGTGGGAGAGCCGTATTATTAGCCCTATTATGGGCCGGCTCGACTGGAGTAATACCACCAACGAGCTGGACACCATAGTGAAACAACTCTTGCGTTGTGTTTCGTCGTGTAAGTGAGGTTACCGGAGGCCCGATTATCCCCTCCCCTATCTTCCCAATCCCCGAATCCCCAACAATCCTCAATATTCCTAATCCCTAAAAAGCCGGTAACGTACTTGTAACGCCTCTGGTGTTCCAGGTGTCCATGGACGCGGATTGCTTACCATCAGGCGATCCGTCTGCTCGTTTACCGGCTTATGTCATAAAAAAGTGTGACAGCCGGGCAAGGGGTGTCGGGTTCGATTCCCAGGTCGGGCAAAGCATGAATGGGGTTTTTAAAAAAATCTCAGTAGTAGCACGGAGTCTGGAATTGTGCCCGGTATACTGCAATAGACTCACCCCCTATTACATGAGACTCATAACATAAATAGTGAAAAGTGGGTGTTACATTGTACAGTGGCATTACGTGCCGTAATGTGCACCCCTTCAGGGATAAAAGGCGTGATGTTATGTTATTGTTAGATACGGGGACACAAGTGAAACCACTGCTTGCTAGTAACGCACTGACGTTTATTGTTGGCACTTATTGGTGCGTCGGCACACGCACACCTACCTACATACCTAACAGTTATATTTTCGGATAAAATGTTGAGTGAAGTATGATTATGTTACCTCTGATTAACGATCCGGTTTCGCTGTCTGTGTCCTCCTCGCCGTCCCGGCTGTCCCACGAGCCGTTCAGGCTCCTGACTTCAGTACATTCTGGAAAAATGAAATCTAAATAACATCATTGTTGTGTAGATACACATATAGATTATATATAATATCACTAGCTTCTGCCAGCGGCTTCGCCCGCGATCCCGTGGTATAAAAAGTAGCGTATGTTAATTATTGGGACTGGTCAGCTCTAGACTGTATTAAACTGTCAAACACCAAGCGGTCACCGGTGACCGCAACCTATTGTTCTATAATTGTGTCTACAATGACGGTACTCGACGAGTTAAATTTGTTGTCCTCAAGGTTATTTTCTTTTTCCGTCTCCTTGACCAAATATTGGTATTACATTGTTCTCACATTATTGAACTCAACGGAAGAATGAAACCAAAAATTGTATTGTGAACATGATTGAAAAAAAGAGTAACCTATGGAGTTTCTTGCTCGTTCTTCTCCATAGGAATCTACACTTTGGAACGAGCAAATAGCTTCACTAGAAGACTGACCTACAGACTGACATTTTTTCTTATTATTTAATATTTAAATATTTTGTTTTGACGTTCAAAAGTGCCTTCCTGGTGTAATTGAAATAAATGATTTTGACTTTGATTTTATTATGTTTTCGGCTGACTCACGTAATTATTTGCGAGGAACAGTACCAGCGCGACGATCACCGCGTCGCGGGTCGCGAAATGCTGCTCATGAATAGGAGCCTCCAGCATGGCTTGAAACTAGTCGAGATTCTCGTCAATTACTTTTTTTTTTAATTACATGAGTAAATCATCCTTAATATCCTTATAATATTAGTAAGGACTAGCCTTACTAATATTATAAATCGGAAAGCGAGTTTGTTTGTTTGTTTGTTCCGCTTTCACGCCGAAGTGGCTGAAGGGAACGGGTTGAAATTCGGACCAAGGGTAGATTGTGGACTGCAATAACACATAGGCTTCTCCCACGAAAACGCGAGTGAACCAGCGGCAGAAGCTAGTATTTAATATTAGTAGGATGGTAGGATTATCATTTGTATTGTAACTTTCGTGAGACATCCTTACTAATATTATAAATCGGAAAGTGAGTTTGTTTGTTCCTCTTTCACGTCGTAACTACTAAACCGATTGCTTTGAATTTTTTCAGACGTAAAGTTAGAAGTCTGGATTAAATAATAGGGTACTTTTTATCCCGGAAAAATTTGATATTCTCGAGGAAACACGAAATCATTGGTATAGATGGCGCTGTGTGTATATGTCACATATGCTACTTTTTATCCTTTTGTGACGCGAGCGAAGCCGCGAGTCTTCTTTTCTTTTGTCTTCTTTTTAAAAAAAACGTTGCCCCACACTAGGATTTTCTCCTGTGTCGTGGGTGCGTTTACAAACATATAAGTTCACATACTCATGACACCCAGACCCGGAACAACAATCTGTGGATCACACAAATAATTGTTCCGTGCGGGAATCGAACCCGCGACACGTTGCGCGGCAGCCAGTTGCCCAGCCACCGCGCCAACCGTGCAGTCGTAAGCTAGTAAAAGCTAGTACTAAATAAATTATTATGTTTTCGACTTACTCACGTAATCATTTGACGAGGAACTCGACTAGTTTCAGTAGCAGCGCGTCACAGTCAGTCACCGCGTCGCTGGTCGCGAAATGCTGCTCATCAATATGAGCCTCTAGCATGGCTTGGAACTAGTCGAGTTCCTCGTCAAATTACGTGATTATGCCGAAACCATAATAATTTATAGGATTATCATTATTTTAATATTTACCTGATGGAGCTCTTTCGGTGATGCTTCCCTGTACGAGTAGTCGCGGCGGTGTGTGCAGGATACGGTACACCCGCGTCACCGGTGCCGTCGTTATATTGGACGAGGTTATCACCGCTGTACTGCATTCCTAGATGAGAAGGTATCATATTGAAATATAATTATAACAGTCTGACAAACGGTGAAGGAAAACATCGTGAGGAAACCTGGGCTAATAATTTCTAATTTTATTGTAAGTTTGAAATCGCCAACCCGCATTGACCAAGCGTGGTGATCAATGCTCAAACCTTCTCCGTGTGAGAAGAGGCCTTTGGTCAGCAGTGGGCTCTTATAAATTGTTAATGTGTGATGAATAGTTTAGTTAATTCTAGAAAAGATTAAGCCAGTAAACGAGCAGACGGATCACCTGATGGTAAGCAATCGGCGTCGCCCATGGACACCTGGAACACCAGAGGCGTTACAAGTGCGTTACCGGCCTTTTTAAAAAGGAGTACATATTTATCTAGGATCAGTGATCGTGTCTATTCACGCGGGTGTTATCTAGGATTATAATTTTTTTAGTCGGGTATATGAGACCCAGGGGAAGAATGAGGGTGGTAGATAACCTCATTTAGCATAGCTTAACCTTACCTCATCAATATCAACAGTGCAAGAATGTCCGACAGGTGTCAGCAGGAGCACGGCGTGAGGTCGCGGCGGAGACAGGGGCGCTACGTATAGATGGCGCTCCAGTGGCGTCTCGCGGAGCCCAACGAAATATACAAGTTGTCGAACTGTGTCTACCTGTGGGGATACAAAAAAAAAACATTTCAGACGAAAAAAAGAATTTTTAATATCGGTTCATAAACGACGGAGATATCGGCGAACAAACATAAAAAAAATGCATATATACGGTCGAATTGAGAACCTCCTCCTTTTTTTGAAGTCGGTTAAAAAAAATAAAAGTAAAAATGATTTGAGAATTGCGTTACTTCTCGTTGAATAATAAATTGGGTAGTTTCCAGGGTATGAAAATTAAAAATGTAATTAGTCCGTCAGTTAGATAATGAAAAAATATTAGACACGTATTTTTTTTATTTTCTCGTATTACGTTGCAATACTTAGATAAAATGGCGCTAAGTTTAGGAGTGGGAGGTCGTTACGTCATAACGTGCTACAAAATGTGGCACGCTGTGACGTCACACGATATTTCAAATCAATATATCGTCGAAAGTATTTAATTTTGTTAGAAAATAATAAATATAAAAATATAAATAAATACGTGTCTAATATTTTAAAATTAATTTACCAGGCGGACATTAAAATAAAATTTAGAAAACGACCCTATTATCTTCTAATTTATTTCTTGACTACTTCACAGCAACTGCTGTGTAAGGAAGAGGTCTAAGCTTCGAATCCTGTGGGCTTACTCTTGAATCCAATTCCGATCGATCGATATTGACATTGTGAAATTTTGTACTCTTGAGTTGCAACACTAGCGTCCATTGCATCCGTATTGTGTAGATATTTCATGAACTAAATGATATTGAGTTTGGCTTAATATTCCGTACTCTGAATGCTATTTTAACAGCTACGATAGTGGTTGTATAGTTTTGACATTGGATAATTATTGAGATTTTATTGGATTGAAATTAAAATAAAAAAAATAATAAAATAAAATTTATTAAAAACAACATAGAACACATTTAGAATTACAGTTCGCTCAGATTTTATAGTAATAAAAAGTCTTAATAATAACACTCGTAATAGTTTACTTAATCTAGTCTTATACAATATACATACATGCGAGGAAATAACGTTCTAAGTATACAATATATAGGGATTACCCGAACTAGGTTTATTTAAACCTGTGTTTCAGGCTATCAATGCCAAAAAAATGATTTGATGGATATAATTATAAATAAAAATCGTATTGCACAATTATTTAAAGACCAAGCAAGGACAACCTGTCCTAAATTATGAAACAAACAACACTATACTAGTTAATATGTAGATTTATCACTAAAAATAAGCAGTTTATTTTAACACTTCTAGTAATTTTTCCGTTTCTGAGTAATTGAGGGACTGTAAATATTCTGTAAGTATTAGATTACACTTATATAAACTTACACTATAAACTTTTAACAACCTGTTGAGTTTGTTATATAAATATGGTCCTAAAAACAAATAAAATCTGTTAGTAAAAGCATGTTTCGTCTGAGGGTTAGTGCAAACTAAATCCTTTCTTCTCTTGTCGGAAGATATCGGGCTAAAACCAATTTCAGTATGCTGCAGCAGTACTACGTTAAGGATGAATAACTGGCGTACTGTCAGTACTTTGCATTCCCTGTATAGCTGTTGAGTAGGAAACTTGAAAGGACGAAAGGTGGCGACCTTCAGAATTGCTCTTTGGGCACGTTCTAGGGGCAGGAGAATAGTTTTTAGAGCACCACCCCATGAGTTAATACAGTAGGCAAGAATGGATTGACATAATGCCATATATACCTGGCGGATTAAGGCAAAGTCCGCAATGTTGCGCAAGTATTTGAAGACATATATTAATTTTCGTACTCTAGTGCATAATGTATCAATATGTTTTCGGAAATTGAGATTAGCATCAATAGTGACACCTAGATATTTTATATAGTCAGTTTTTACCAATGTAGGGCAAGCGCATGCTGTGTCAGCAGTCGTGCTCGTATGACAACTATGTGCATAAATGTTAAGGTTAGTAGTCGATATGTGAGTATTTCTCATTGAAAATAACATGTAGTTTGTTTTATCTGAATTCAATGTTAGGAGATTATTATGAAGCCAATTAGACACTATATTAAAACCATTTTGGGCAAATTCATAGACCTCATCATTTGATTTACCTGTGAACACCAGAGCTGTGTCATCAGCATATGACATAATAACACCATTTTGGAGGGTCAAGCTGCATAGGTCATTGATATATATTAGGAATAAGGTAGGACCTAATATACTACCCTGAGGAATTCCGTAACTACTGTTTTTTAGTTCAGAACTTCTATATTGACCAATTTTTACGCACTGCTGACGATTTTTAAGATAGTCCGTGAATAATTTCAGCTGTACTCCTCTTATACCAATTTTTTCAAGTTTATGGAATAACAAGGAGGAAGAAATGGTGTCAAATGCCTTCGCAAGGTCTAAGAAGATCCCAATTGTGTACATACCTTTATCCAAACTTGTGCATATATAATTAGTGAGTTGATGAACCGCTTGGTTAGTTGATCTTTTAGATCTGAATCCAAATTGACGATTGGAGAGTAAATTGTTGTTCTCAAGATATTTAATTAGTCTAACGTTAATAATTCTCTCCAAAATCTTAGAAAGGCCTGATAGTACTGCAATAGGTCTATAATTGGTAATATTAGTTTTGTCTCCGGCTTTAAAAACGGGAGTTACTAAGGCCTTTTTAAGAAGATTGGGAAATATACCGTTCGTTAAGCATAAGTTAAATATATATGTTAGTGGAGGTGCAATTACGTGCTTAAATCTTTTAAGTACATTATTAGGGATGTCATCCCACCCAACAGCACAAGAGTCCTTTAATCCATCTATAATACTAACTATTTCTTTAACGTCAGTGTCGAGTAACACAAACGAACCTAAGGTAGTAAGTGACATAGTTGTACTTTGCGAAAAGGAATTTCTGTATAGAGCTTTTTCAGCTAGATTTTTACCAATATCAACAAAATATTTGTTCACTTTATTTGCCGCTAGAATTGGGGTTGTATCAGTTTCTAAAAGTTCTAGAGCAGAGTCTGATTTCTTTGATCTAAAAGTATTATTTTTAACAACTTCCCAAATGAGTTTACTATTCTTACCAGCTTTTTGTATTTGAACTTTGTCGTATTGGGTTTTTAATTTTTTCAACAGATTATTGCAGAAATTCCTGTACCGTTTATAAGTAACAGAAAGTATCTCGTTATCCGGTGCGAGTCGTAGTTTTTGGTGTAGTTTATCCCTATGTCGAATGCAACGGACCAGGCCGGGTGTAATCCACGGCTTAATATTGCAGTATTTTCTAGGTAGAATTTTATTAGAAGTATTCTTATTAATAATTTTTTGTAATGAATCAATAAAATACTGCAGACTAATATTTGGATCATTGGAACAGTAAACAGGGTCAAGGTTTAAGCCGCGTATGTCATTTTCAAGTGCTAACATATTTAGTTTTGTTATGCTACGCATGCAGTTTTTTCTAGGTAATGAAATTTGTAGAGTTAGCAATATTGCGTGGTGATCTGTAAGCGATGAATTAGTAATGTAAGTTTTAGAGGGCAATTTAGATTTTATAATTATGTGATCTAAGCATGAACCACTCTGGTGTGTAGGGTGATCATGGGCTGGCAATAGTCCGTGGAATGTACAGATATTCAGGTAGTTATGCGCATGAGTGTTAGTTTTCCCAGAAGCAATATTTATGTTTATGTCACCTAACAGTATAATATTACTATAACATGAAAGTTGTTCTAAAATAGTACTAAGCGATTCTATAAATATATCTACATTTTGAGATGGTGGCCTATATACAGCTAAAACTATTGTATCTTGGTTAATTTTAATTAAAAGACTATTACAGCCTTGAAACAAGGGTTCGTGCACTGATACTGTAAGGGTATTTTTAATGTATACAACCAGACCATCATTTTGGTTGATATTCATTGCAGTTTTATACAAAGTATAACCCTTCAGCATTGGCAAATTATCTGTTTGTTTACATAACCAGCATTCTGTAAGTACAATGACGTCACAGCTAATATCAAGGTTCTGTAATAGTACTTCAAACCCATTAAAATTCCGACTTATACTACGAATATTTTGAGTTAGGAAAGTTAGTAACTTATCACTAGTAGGAATAAAATTTTTGCAGTTTTCAACATTACAGACAATCGATTCAGATACGGAAAAATTATCAATATCGCTTAGGAGATTATTAGTCATATCGTTAGGATGTAATTAAGTTAAGATAAAAATAGAAATTAAGACTACTGTTTATGTGCTACTTACAAATAAAATAGGTGGCGCTCTTAGGCGCCTTCATAGTCTATTGTGTGAATATAACTGTCTTCTGCATATTTGCGTGCCGGGCAGTTCACATCACCAGTTGGATGGTCACACTTCCGCTTGAACCGCCTGCAGGTTGCACATTGGGAAGGGGAAGATTTATTGTTACATTCTTTAAAAGAATGTCCCATCTCCCCACAGTGGTTGCACGTAGGGCTTGTTTCGCGGCAAAACTTGGCTGCATGACCAAACTGTTGGCAGTTGAAACATCTGGTCACTATTGTAAAATCTTTTACGGGGCATGATGTCCAATTTATAAAGATACGGCCTTGATTAATCAGCAATTTCCTGATTATCGCTGGAACTTCTATAATATAATTACACGTAGGACGATCTTTCTTACCAGACTTGTGGCTTAGTCTAATATCATTTAAAAAGGACGCACGGGTAGTATTCGGCAATTTGTCGGAGAGATTCTGTTCATAGATGCACTCCATGACATCTGATTCAGTGAGGGCTACAGGGACACCAATGACAGCAATACGTGGTCGGCGTTTAGTAGGTTCTTCGACTTTGAGGCCTGAGGAAACTAGTTTTTCTGATGTTTTCAGCTTCTCTATATCGCCTTTGCTATCCGCACTGATAATAACGCCTCCGTTTCTAATTTTCTTCAACCCGCGGACACGAAGTTTCATCTCTTCAGGGGAGATAATTTTCTGCACTAGGCTCTTGGTTGCGTCACTGGTCTGCGTCTTATCATTAGGGTAGATAGCAATGGAGCTGAGATTGGCTGGCCGTATGAATTTGTCCTCTCCTTTTTTTACCATGTTGGCATAGGAAGTGCAGTCTGACTTACGTTCAGCTTCTACAACTTTTTTTAGTTCTTGGAGGGAATTTGCAATTTCCTGTTGTCCTTGTAATTGCTGGATGGTAACATGGGCTTGGATTGTTTTCTGCTTCAGGGACTGGTAAAGTACCGCTATCTGCGATGTCCCATGAGAGACTTTACGGCATAAATTTGTGACACGGAGTTTCTGGTCGTTATTCATTTTTCCTTCTGCGACAATACCGCAAACTTCCGACATAAAAGCGTCAATAGAAGTCAGCCATTTCTGGATCTCCGGCGTAGAAATCAATTCTACTACAGGCTCAGTGGACGCTGACGGCTCTGGGTCTTTCTGGTGGTGCTGTTCAGATGGTGATGGCGTCGGCGGTGGACTACGTCGTAATAATTGGCTACGCCCAAAAGGGCTTTGTCCTGGGTTAGACATACTAACACAATTTATAACTTTTTAAAAGTACTTAGTTCATATTGCACAGTGTACAGAGATGCAACATAAAGTTATTCGCAAACACTTTACTTCACGCGACACACTTTATTTTTGCAAGTGTGCAAAAGTTTTTACTAATTAATATTTATAATTAAGAACGACTCATTATAATAACAACAATAAGCACGTCCGCTTAGTCTCACATCTCATTTCCGATTCGATTGAATTTGCATTGCATTGACATTGAGATTGGTTTCAAGAGTAAGCACCATGGACCGGTCAAAATGTGGTTTTCGGATCAATCGGATTCGGAATTTCGGATTTGGAAAAAAAAATTCGCAATAAAATAACAAGATTATTCGTTTGGTAGAATATTTTATTTACGTATTTTTTTTTATTTCCTTTTACGGAAGCAAATACTTATGACGGTAATAATGTATCGATTTAACGCGTGACGTCACTTCTATGTAGGTACGTTTTATACGTAGAAATGACGTTTTAGCTTCTACTCGTAAACTTTGATTCGTTTTATCTAAGTATTGTTTGCTTTTACGACGAAATAAAACAATACGTGTGTATACTCGGAATTTTAATTCGATTCCAGATTTGACAATTTCAGTGTTGCAACGTTATGACAAGTACTAAATAGTGACGTTGCGAAATTATTCGATATGGAAATGTAATATTTCTGGATCGATTCTTCTCGTTTATAATTTTACTCCCGTAAACTAAGTATATCACGAAATTAAATATTTCTGAACCGATAATTTAGTTTTGACGATTAATTAACGATCTGAGACTTTTCTTTTATAATTGTGTGTGAAATAAATAAAAAAATGTAATCATATAAGGAACATGACAAATAAAACAGATAGATGTATTATGGTAATAAGTTATTTTATAAATTGTCGCCGTCATCGCTATCGCTATCGCTGTCACTTTCTGTAACATTTATTATAAAACACACACACTGATTGTTTATCGATTTTTGTGTTCATCACTACACTATTATATGTGGTATCATTATTTCACAAAATGACAGTAGCTATTGTCAAATCTGGAATCTAATTAAAATTCTGACTATAGATATTATTATCTAACTGACGGACTAATTACATTTTCAATGTTCATACCTCGTCGTCATTACTGCAGTATACAATTATAAATTAATTATTGTTTTTCAGCATAGCTTGAAAGTAGTCGAGTTAGTCGTCAAACTGTTACTTGAGTAAACCGAAAATTACAATAACTAATTTGCTCACGTAACTTATAATAGAAACAAATATTACATAACATCACGCCTTTTATCCCCGAAGGGATAGACAGAGGTGCACATGCCACTGTACAATGTAACACCCACTTTTCACTATTTATGTCATGAGTCCCATGTAATAGGGGGTGAGCCTATTGCCATATACCGGGCACAATTCCAGACTCCGTGCTACTACTGAGAATTTTGTAAAAACCCAGTAATACTTTGCCCGACCCGGGAATCGAACCCGAGACCCCTTGCCCGGCAGTCGCACTTGCGACCACTCGGCCAACGAGGCAGAAAGAAATATTAAATAAATGCTATGTATGTTTGTCCACTACTCACCCATATCTTCCTGGACATGACCTCCCACTCTCCAGCAGTGATCGGCTCCTTGCTGATCATGTTCGGTCCCACTGCGTTGCTCTCATCTTCGTTTATCATCTCAATTACTGCTGTTGACAAAATATATCGTTATACAATATCTTTACCACTACATGGTATAAAACAAAGTCGCTATCTGCCGTCTGTCTGTCCCTATATATGCTTAGATCTTTGAAACTACGCAATGGATTTTGATGCGGTTTTGTTTAATACATATTTTTAAGGGGGGAAAATCACTGAGTTACTGCTCCCGCCTGGGTGAGGCGGGAGTGTCAGACTCTTACTGACTAAAAACCACCCGGTCCTTCTCCTGCGCTTCGAGCCGGAGCCCCGGTTACCCGTTAGGTTCTCCGCGACTCCGAATCGGCATCGGCCCTATTGGGCCCCATCTGTGATGGTCTGATGGCTCTTTGAGGCGCGCGGGGCATGCGACGCGCCGTACGCTCGGGTTGTTTAATACACAGAGTGATTCTTAAGAAAGGTTTATATGTCTAATACATGCATAATATAGTAGAAAAATATTGACAAATTTAGAGGTTACTTATGTGATGTCGTAAATAAGCAAAAGCTAGTACCTACGACGCGACTTCGCTTAAAGTTCAGTTAAATGAAACATTGTAACAAAAGTTACTCACTGCGTTTTTGCCCATGGCTCCTCTGTATAAGAGCACAGGTCACCAAATACAGGTGTAGATGGCCCGACTCCTCGCTGGCCCAGATGAAGTTCATCTCATTACCGCTTGATGGTAGGAAGTATAGTATGTCGTGGACGTTGATCCAGGCGTCTGGGGCCGTCTCCGAGACCAGGATTTGTATGTCTTGTATTGGCTGTGGAAAACATAGAGGCATTTGGTAATTTAGAATTTTAGACAAGTTGAAATCGCGCTGACGTATAGTTCCGTCTACAAACTGTTAGTACAATGACAGAGACGACACGATGTTTGAGTACGACTTATAATAGGGTAGTATCCTAAATTTTATTTTAATGTCCGTCTGGTAGATTATTTTAAATCATTAGACACGTATTTTTAATTTTCTTACAGAAACGAATACTTTCGCCTATATATTGATTTAAAATGTCGCGTGACGTCACTTCTATGTACATTTTATACGTAGAAATGACGTTTTAGCCCCCACTCCTAAACTTTGATTCGTTTTATCTAAGTATTGTTTTAATATACGACAAAATAAAAAAATACGTGTCTAATATTTTTTTCATTACCTAACTTACGGACTAATTATATTTTTAATTTTCATATACTGTCATCATCCATATTGTTTGTAAAATGACAGTGATGGCACGTTATTTAAGTACGACTTATAATTGAGCGGCATTTCAGTATTCAAGTCAAAAGTCGGACATGAATGGTAGACTTCAACACTCTTTATGGAAGTCGGTTAATTAATATACTAAAACATTCTCCTAACAGTAACAAACACTATTGTGACAACCGCATCGAAATCGGTTCAGTCAATCGCCAGTAGGTGGGGAACGTTTTTAAAAAAAAAAAAAAAAAACAAAAATAAACCCTGGTTTTTTGAAATCGGTTAAAAATATTTATTTAACACACAGGCCAGCCATACAGTAACTGGGAGTAGTAGTAAAATAATCACAACCGCTACTCTTCCCGCGGGTGTCGTATACCCGAATGATGCGATTATAAAGACAGAGACCGGGCAGCAGCGCTCTCTGATAAACCTGAACCTTTTATACTGCGACCTCCAACCCAAGTGTAGAAACGAGTACGATTTGAATAATCCTTATTGTGTTGGAGTGCATTTATTGAGAAACCCTATAGGCTTTAAAACATCACGGTACGATCGATAGGCGCCGAGCAAAGTGGGTGGAACCCCACGTAGTACCCTTTCCCTTCCACAATCTCCCCAATCCCTGAATCCCTGAATCCCCAACGATCCTCTAACTCCTAATCCCCAAAAAGCCGGTGACGCACTTGTAACGCCTCTGGTGTTCCAGGTGTCCATGGGCGACGGCGATTGCTTACCATCAGGTGATCCGTCTGCTCGTTTACCGGCTTATGTCATAAAAAAAAATAAAAAAATAACTAGTTCTATATGACTGACCTGTTCATAGCTAGTAGACGGTTCATGTCGTGCGCTGACAGCGCCGGCCATGTCGTAATGCGCCGGCGCACAGAACTGTGACAGTGGGATGAGGACCAGCTCCAAACGCTGCTGCTTTCTGTCCAGGAGTTGGGCCCATACACTGCAGAAAGAGATAAAATGATCATTAATTATACATGGCAAAACCTAACATTTTTATTTTATTGTGGGTAACAATCAGAAGCGATGTGATTTGAAACGCTAATAGACTTACAACACTTGGTCCACTTGTGCACAGTGTGGATCGGATTTCTGATACCCACAAAAATCATACAAAGGGGAGGTCATGACCCTTACTAATTTCAAAGTCAAAGTCAAAGTCAAAGTCAAAGCATTTATTTCAATTAAACCATAGTTTGGTACTTTTGAAACGTCAACAAATACAAAATAAATAATAGTCTGTCAGTCAGTCCGTCAGTGAAGCTAGGTGAAGCTAGGTGCTCATTCCAAAACGTAGATTCGAATGGAGAAGAACGAGCAAGAAACTCCATTCGTTACTCTTTTAAAAAAGTATGTTCTACAATGTCTCTGATACATATTTCAATACTGTACGCATATGTAAGAACAATGCAAAGACACGCTTGACGCATTATACTAATAACTTACTAAAATAAAAATAAAAATAATAAAGATCTTAAGTCCAACATGGTGCTCACATATGCATACTGACAATCCATAGAAATAGTGCTTCTATACAAGAAAAAGGAAACTCTTTGTTTCAATAAAGAAAGAAATGCTCGATGCCATAAGGAAACTAGATTGTCTACATTAGAATTAAAGTATTAAATTATGTATTATATTACCTACTATTGGAATTTAACTACTGACTACATTTGAGTATTGTCCAGTGGAGCCGAACCAACATGCTGCCAAGCATTCTTATCTTCAAGATAATCTGTCAGTGTGTAGTAAGCTTGATTACATAATTCGCGCTTAATATATGTTTTAAATTTACTTTCATTGAGATCTAGTATGCTATTTGGTATTTTATTATAGCATTTAATACCTAACCCCATAAAGGATTTCTGTACTTTGGACAGTCTGAATTGCGGTATAGCTAACTTATTTTTGCCTCTAGTATTAAAATTGTGTCTATCGCTTCTTTTTTCAAACAATTGCCTATTTTTCCTTACATACATTATATTTTCATATATATATTGACAGGGCACCGTTAAAATATTTATCGTTTTAAACAATTCTCTCAACGATTCGCAACGGCGTAAGTTATATATTGCTCGGATAGCCCGCTTTTGCAGAATAAATATTGATTCTATTTCTGCAGCTCGACCCCACAACAAAATGCCGTACGACATAATGCTGTGGAAATAACTAAAATAGACAAGCCTAGCTGTATCCACGTCCGTGAGCTGTCTAATCTGTCTAACTGCAAAAGCAGCTGAGCTCAATCTCCCCGAAAGCGCCTTTATATGCGGACCCCATTGTAGCCTATTGTCTAACGTAATGCCTAAAAATACTGTCTCGTCGACAAATTCTAACTTTTGACCGTTCAAAACAATATCACAATCGTTACTACGCACGTTTGGTAAACTGAATTTAATACATTTTGTTTTTTTTTCATTAAGTGCTAGATTATTAATGGTAAACCAATTATGCACTTGAAGAATGGAGCTGTTTACGTCGTCAAGATTATTTGTACGTCGATCTACTTTAAAAATTAATGATGTATCATCTGCAAAAAGCACCATTCTTGGTTCATTTTTAAATATAAATGGCAAATCATTTATATAGACTAAAAAGAGAAAGGGACCCAATATTGAACCTTGAGGAACGCCCATATTCATCCCAGAGCCCTGTGAGTTAATACCGTTAACATGAACCTTTAACTGTCTTTCTTCTAAATAAGATTTCATAAGACGGAGCGCAGAGTTTCTTATCCCGTAATGATCTAATTTCAGCAAAAGTGTTTCGTGGTCAACGCAATCAAATGCTTCAACATTCAACAGTCAACATAACATCACGCCCTTTATCCCTGAAGGGGTAGGCAGAGATGAACATTTTGCCACTGTACAATGTAACACACATTTTTCACTATTTATGTTATGAGTCCCATATATTAGGGGGTGAGCCTATTGCCATATACCGGGCACAATTCCAGACTCCGTGCTACTACTGAGATTATTTTTAAACCATTTGGATACAGCTGCATGTTACCATACTAATGACTATAATGGTAGCATTATAGTCATACGCATAGTCGCACGCACGCACGCACGCACGCACCAACACACACCATTATTTATTTATTCTTTAATGTACATAATTTGTTTATGGCACATAAGGCGAACTTAATGCCATATGGCATTGTGTAATTTATGTATCATATTGTTTGTTATATATTATTTATTTTTGAGTGTATTCTTGTATACTATGTATAGTATTCTATACAGTTATTAATTAATGTACACTTGACGACCCATATCAGACTCCTATTGCTGCTCCATTCAAACTTTGGATTACAAAGGTTGTCTATAAGAAATCGCCTTGTGCGATAAGACCACCCATTGTACACTAAATTTGTTAGGCTATATTGTCCTGTAGTACGATTATTTGGTGTACAATAATGCATATATTAATATTATTATAATATCAAAAACTACTCACTACTGTCCGTCAGGAGTCCACCCCACCCTGGCCAGGTATTCGAACCAGGGGAAGCATTCCTTCAGCGGCTGCTTCAGCTCGTACCATCGCAGGTCCACCACTTCCATGCAACCGTTGCTTGTGTCGCCTACTGGAATATTTCATCAGATTTATTGATATTATTGAAGAATAATAAATAATGCTTAAGTTCTCGATACCCGTCTGGGTATCCTAGGAAATTTTATTTAAACTACTTTTCTAAAAAACCGTCTTGTTTCGAGCCTTACCAGCCTACCAGGATACATAAAATGCAACTTGAAGAAGGTTGCGAGACTATGATGATTATGGATCCCATTGTGGCTCGAAATCAGTCGAGCATCCCCGAAAACTCTATGTGAGTAATCCACACAACAGTTAAGACAAAGAAAATAAAAGAAGCCAGGATACCTTGTTAGATATGCAACCGACAATTAAAAAGCGATATTTAACATTAACTATTGAATTTATGATAAAAACTTTATGAAGATTGGTTCTTATTAATAACCGATATATCTACTTCTGCCTACCCTCTTACTTACAGTGTTCAGAAGCTCCCTCGTGGTAATAATCCAGGACGGTAGAGGAAGTCGCCTTCTGAAGTCTGAATGTCAACATCTTCAGTGAGGACTTGGCGTTAGGAGTACCAGCTCTAGGAAACCTAGTAGGACAAGAAGTCATGATTATTTTTTTATCAACGAGTGCTGCGGTAGTATTTGCTACTTTCTAAGATTGTTTAGACACCACTGACTAACGGTGAAGGAAAACATCGTGAGGAAACCTAGACTTATAATTTCTAACTATAAGTTTGAAATCGACATACCGCATTGAGCAAGCGTGGTGATTAATGCTCAAACTTTCTCTGTGTAAGAAGAGACCTTTGGTCAGCAGTGGCCACTTATAGCATCTTTTCGCCATCGACCCTCACAACAGCATATGAATCCCCATCATATAGATGACTAGCTGTTGCCCGCGACTTCGTCCGCGTAGATTAATGCCTTCTGACAGAATTCATCAGAATCAATTCAGTGCCCAATTAAGATTTACCTATTGTGAAATGATTTATCGTAATTTCAATAAATTAAAAATCCCGCAGGGTTCTTACCAGTCCCGGCCCGATCACGTAAGTTTTGAGTAATAAAAACTTCGACTGTTGTACAGAATCTCTATGAAATAAGTTCAGTGGTTAAAAGATAGAGAGTCCTGGAGCATTGACGCATAGTTCCCGTTCCCGAGGGACTTCTGAGATAAAAACTATCATACGTTACTCAGGTCCCAAATCATCGTTTTACCGAATGTAATTCAAAAAGATTCAATGATTCTAGATTCAATTTTCATTCCCATTTTCACACCAACTATCATTCCCTATTTTATCCCCTTAGGGGTGGAATTCATCAAAATCCTTTCTAAGGAGATACCTATGTCATAGTAACTTTATGCATGCAAAGTCTCAGCCCGATCGGTTTAAAACTGGCAAAGTATCACACAAACTTTCACCCTCTATATTACCCACTTTGGGGTGGAAATGTTCAAAAACCTTTCTAAAGGGACGTGTACGTCATAATATCTACCTGCACGCCGAATTTCAACCCGATCTGTGTAAAACTGACAAAGCCTCATACAAACTTTCATCCCCTACATTATCCCATTGGAGTTGGAAATGATCAAAATCCTTACTTGGAGATGCCTACGTCATAACATCTACTTTCATGCCGAATTTCATCCCTATCGGTGTAAAACTGACAAAGTTTCATACAAACTTTCACCCCTATTTTACCCCCTTGGGGAGTGGAAATGATCAAAATCCTTTCTTAGAGGATGTTTACGTCAAAATATCTATCGGCACGCCGAATTTCAACCAGATCGTTTTATAATTGACAAAGTTCCATACGAACTTTCACCCCCTATTTTACCCTCTTAGGAGTGAAAATGATCAAAATTCTTTCTTAGAAGATGCTTACGTTATAACATCTATCTGCATGCCAAATTTCAACCTGATCGGTTTAAAACTGACAAAGTCTCATACAAACTTTCATCCCCTATTTTACCCCCTTGGGGGTGGAAATTATCAAAATCCTATCACAGCGGATGCTTACGTCATAACATCTATCTGCATGCCAAATTTCAACCCGATCAGTTAAAAACTGACAAAGTTTCATACAAACTTTCATCCTCTTTTTTCTCGTATAAAGTAAAGGATAAAAAATGGTTATTGTGGGTTATTCCTAAGAGATAAACATATACCATCACGGACTTTTTTGTAGACCTTTTTAAGTTGTACAATACTGTAGTACATTGTTTTGATCTATCTTGTAGGATTCAGTCAGCGTTTGCAATGTAAGCGCAAAAAATGTGTTTTTTTACGACCTCACATTAGAAACCTCAAAAATTGTAGCCTATGTTTTATTCTGATGTATAAGCTATAGCCTATGTGTTATTCTGATGTATAAGCTATATTGTGGTAAAGTTTCATTCAAATCCATTCAGTAGTTTTTACGTGAAAGAGTAACAAACATCCATACATCCATACTTACAAACTTTCGCCTTTATAATAGTAGTAGGATTGGCAGGCCTCAACTGTGCGCTTCTCACGATGCTTTCTGCCTCGCACATCAAAACTGTGGAATGATCTGTCGTCGGCGGTATTTCCGAACCGATACGATCTTCAAACCTTCAAAAGAGCGTACTCCTTTGTAAAAGGCCGACAACGCACCTGTGACTCCTCTGTGTTGCGGGTGTCCATGGGCGGCGCTGATCGCTTACCATCAGGTGATGCGTCTGCTCGTTTGCCTCCTATACCATAAAAAAGAAATTGGCTGTTGATGTGAACTTGGGCCTCCGGTAATCTCATTCACATGACGAAACACAACGCAAGCGTTGTTTCATGGTATCGCTCCGGTAGGATGTCGGCCCATTTACGCGGCTGCACAGAAGCATGGATTTTTTTATATGATTTGACCACAGGTAAAGCCGAAATGATTATGTAAATGCGTGATGATGTACTGGATTCCTACCTGAACTCCTCCACCTCGCCGCTGGTGGACTGCGAGGACGGGAAGCAGTAGATCTTCACCTCGCTCTCGTCCACCTCCTCGTAGACTATCCTGTATATGTCATCTGAAATTGGGACGATGACAGGGTACGAAAAGTAAAAATATAGTCCGAAAGTTAGGTACTTAATGAAAAAATATTAGACACGTATTTTTTTTATTTTGTCGTATAATAAAACTATACTTAGATAAAACGAATCAAAGTTTAGGAGTGGGGCTAAAACGTCATTTCTACGTATAAAATGTACAATGTCAAATCAATATATCGTCGAAAGTATTCGTTTCTGTAAGAAAATAAAAAATACGTGTCGAATTATGTAAAATAATCTACCAGAAGTACCAGACGGACATTAAAATAGAAATTAAGGATCTACCCTATTATACAGCCCATTCATTAATAACAACGGTTTTATCTGTATTCCCAATTCCCAAGAGGATACGAAAGTGTGATTATTTTTTAATATTTTATTGTATTGAACAGTCGAAATAATTTATTTTTGATTAAGGAAAGCACCTTATTACCAATCCATGAGAAGCCAGTAACGCACTTGTAACGCCTCTGATGTTCCAGGTGTCCATGGGCGACACCGATTGCTTACCATCAGGTGATCCGGTTGCTTGTTGCCTTACATAAATTGTTGTCTGCCACGAGCGGACGTATGCATATATATATTTTATGGCATAAGCCGGTTAACGAGCAGACGGATCACCTGATGGTAAGCAATCGGCGTCGCCCATGGACACACGGAACATCAGAGGCGTTACAAGTACGTTACCGGCCTTTTGGGGATTAGGAGTTTGAGGATCGTTGGGGATTCAGGAATTGGGGAGATTGGGGAAGGGGAGGGTAATTGGGCCTCCGGTAACCTCACACACACGACGAAATACAACGCAAGCGTTGCTTCACGTCGGTTTTCTGCTCGGTCGTGGTATCATTCCGGTCGAGCCGGCCCATTCGTGCCGAAGCATGGCTCTCCCTTACATAGATGATGATGAAAGAGACGTACCTTCAGCCTGTGGTTGCCACCAGAAGCCGGTGTACCGGGAGAACTCCTCCTGCGTCACGTAGCATGGGACTCCAGCCTGGCGAGGGTCGTCTGCTAACCTGGAGGGAGGGGTCATGATTATGATTAGTAGGCCGGTGGGCCTGGAACCAAACATCTTTAAAAATGATTAACAAATTGATTTGATTTGATAGATATTTAGTAGTCCGTAATTTGATACTTGACAACTAGTCCAAATTCAATACTGTTTTCGAAAACGACAGTTGTCTATGAATTTTGTACGAGATTGTGTATTGTGACGTCACGTTTTTTTAGCGTCAAACAGCATAGGTACTTATTTTTAAAAATTTGCTGGTAAAATACTAAAATGAAGTTGGTCATAAAATCAATTAATGAAAGTGTGATTATTTTTTTAACATTTTATTGTATTGAACAGTCGAAGTAATTTATTTTTGATTAAGGAAAGTACCCAGTTCCATACAAGATAAAGAAGTTTAAAAAGTACAAGCTACTTCGTTGGTTGGTGTTCGCAAGCACGGCTAACAATAAATAATGTATGAGATAGGGATGCAGGAGGCTTCGGCTGGAGCAGATGATCTGAGTAGAAAGCGGTGGTAGTTTCTTAACCCTTCAGGCACTCACATTCTCGTTGCCCCTCTGTTGCTATATCTAGCAACCATTCCCGGGGCCCGGTCGGTGAGTTGGCGAGTCTCCGCCTGCCATTTTTACGTGTAATAATTACATTGTTTCGGCAGGTGCCATAGTCATCCATAGTTCCCAATTTCCCAGTCCACAGCAACCCATCCATAGCCCTACCTTTTTTTTCCATTATACACAATAGTTCTGCACTAACCGGGGACTGTCCTTGGGTGCATTTCCATAGTGCATACAGGGATAGTCGCCGGTTTGTGTGTCCATTACATTTATATTAAAGTTGTCTAAAGGGCCTCTGCGCAGTTGGCTTCGGCCCCTCGTACGCCTCCCAAATGACCGGGACCCTGTGGTCCCGTGAATGGTAAAGACGTACAATAATAATGTAGTTTCCTAAATTATATTTTAATATTCGTCTGATACATTAATTTAAAACTTTAGACACGTATTTTTTTCTTTTCTCACAAAATTAAATACTTTCGACGATGTATTAATTTGAAATATCGTGTGACGTCACAGCGTGTCACATTTTGTAGCACGTTATGACGTAACGACCTCCCACTCCTAAACTTAGCGCCATTTTATCTAAGTATTGCAACGTAGTACGAGAAAATAATAGAATACGTGTCTAATATTTTTTCATTATCTAACTGACAGACTAATTACATTTTTAATTTTGATATCCTGGAAACTACCCAAATGGTATTGGATTTAATTTCCGAGTTGGACAAAACTGTGATTAGGTAATTTTAGTGTTAAAAAATACTGCCTTGTTTATCAAGTGGATATAAGCGACTGCTGAGCAGTCCTGGGTTCCATTCCTTTGAATTGGGCAAAAGTAATATCAATAGTACTATAATTTTGAACAGATTACCAATAAAAATACTAACCGATCAGGCTCATGTCCTTTACAGGCATACGTCAGTCGTGTAGGCCGTCTGAGTTGCCCGCCCGCCAGCCAGATGTCGCCCCTAGCGGCATGGGCCACCAACTCAGGGGTTCGGGGGCACATTGCCGGAGTTAGGGGCGCTCCTCCGCCGGTGTTTAGACAACGAGGGACGAGGGGAGGTGACTGGAAATAAACAAATTTGAAATTATACTACAAATAATGGACCGGCTCGACCGGAGTGATACCACGGCCTAACAGAAACCGACGTGAAGCAACGCTTGCGTTGTGTTTCATCGTGTGAGTGAGGTTACCTAATTATTAGCCTAATTATTTCCCCCCCCCCCTTCCCAAACTCCCCAATCCCTGAATCCCCAACAATCCTCAAATTCCTAATCCCCAAATGGCCGGTAACTCACTTATGACGCCTCTGGTGTTCCAGATGCGACGCCGATTGCTTACCATCAGGTGATCCGTCTGCTCGTTTACCGGCTTATGTCACAAAAAAAGAAATAATAATATTTTCAAAAAAAAAACAAATAATAACTGGGTTTTGATCATATATCTCCATCATCAGGAGATATGGACGTATCTGACGCGTCCAAGCTCGATATATGGTTACTAGTCGATGGCCCAAGGTTCCATCAGCCACCTTCAATTTCCATGACCAAAATCCAGATGATACCCTATTTCTTCACGCGTGTGTCATATACCCGAACGTGGAGAACACTATCAACCGTGAAGAATATTGAATAACCACCGCCACTCCTTCCGCGGGTGTCATATACCCGATTTCACATAGGCAGGACATGATGATACTGACCTGTGTAGATCCCTCATCAGCGACAAATAACGAGGATGCGCAAGGGAACATGATTTTCCCGGAGGTCTGGTGTAGTTCATATGAGGCGATGCCCCAGGCGGCCACCCTCTGCCGTTCCCATAGCAACTGCTCCTCGCGAGACCACTTCCCTGATGACACGCCGAGAGCGACGTTGGATTCGATTAGTGGTTTCCAGTCGAGTCTGTAACAAAAATATTTTTTTTTCCATAACAGTAGTAGGCAGAGGTGCGAATTAAGGTACTTTATGCCACTGTACAATGTAACACTCACTATTCACTATTTATGTTATGAGTCCCATGTAGTAGGGTGTGAGCCTATTGCCATATATCGGGCACATTTCTAGAAGCATTTCCGAAAAATGCTTAACCTCTGACCTAGGCCCTCTGGTCTCGAGATGCGTCGACCAGATTGAAATATTTTTAAACTAGCGACCCGCCCCGGCTTCGCACTGGTTCAATATGCATGTATTATACATATAAACCTTCCTTAAAAATCACTCTATCTATTTAAAAAAACCGCATCAAAATCCGTTGCGTAGTTTTAAAGATCTAAGCATACATAGGGGCAGACAGACGGCGGATAGCGACTTTGTTTTATACTATGTAGTGATTAAATTAAGTACTTATGGTTAATGTTTTTAAATCCAAATAAAGGTTCGATACATCAAATAATATCACCTAATCGACACTACTACAATAGTGACACATTCATAGATAAAATGAATAAGAGAAAGTCATATTTACGTAAACAGTGAGATAAATCAATACATAGTATAACAATCAATACATAGTATAAAACAAAGTCGCTTTCGCTGTATGTCCGTATGTATGCTTAGATCTTTAAAACTACGCAACGGATTTTGATGCGGTTTTTTTTAATAGATAGAGTGATTCTTAAGGAAGGTTTGTATGTATAATACATGCATATTGCACCCGTGCGAAGCCGGGGCGGGTCGCTAGTATAAACTATAATTAACTCTTTAGTTGTAATTCCATAGATTATCGTGTAACATTGCTTCTATGACATGTACACACCCTTTATTGATGCATACAACTTAACTATATTTAAAAGTAAAAGTTATATAGGATGGATGAAAGTAGAGTAACGAAAGAAGTTTACAGAGCGGATATGAATGGGACTGTCGGTATAGGGCGCCCTAGACGGACATCGGAGAATCTAACGGGTTACCGGGGCTCCGGCTCAAAGTGCAGGAGTAGGAACGGGGTGGTTTTTAGTCAGTAAGAGTCTCACACTCCCTCCCGCTTCACCCGGGTGGGAGAAGTCATTCGATGATTTTCCTCACAAAAAAAATAGACGGACATATACTGACCAGATTGGCGACATATGAAAGAAGGATCAAATTAAAAATACCCTTAACCGACGAGCATGCGTGAAAAGACTGATGACTGTTGATGAAGCGAAAGAGGTATGTAAGAATTGTAGCAATTGTAGCAATTGGCGTTCCATAATCTATCTACCCCCATGGGAGCCAGGTGTGAGGTTATGTATGTAAAAATTGTATAAAATGAAAAACATTGAGTAAATTATTGAGTAAATAGTTAATCGTAAAGATGGTAAGCAAACGGCGTCGCCCATGGACACCTGGAACACCAGAGGCGTTACAAGTGCTTTATCGGCCTTTTGGGGATTAGGAGTTTGAGGATAGTTGGGGATTCAGGAATTGGGGAGATTGGGGAAGGGGATTCTTGTGACGTCATTCGTTGACATGTACCATGTGTCGCCACAATGTCACATAGCTTGTTACTGGTTGACTGGGACACAGTGCCTAAAGCATTCAGTCTGCCTTTAGTAATTTTAACTCGTCGAGTACCGGTTTTGTAGACACAATTATAGAACAATAGGTTGCGGTCACCGGTGACCGCTTGGTGTTTGACAGTTTAAGTAAATAAAATAAGTAAGTACCAAAATAAACAAATATATTACATCATTTCAATTTCATGTTTATTGACATGTCCAAAGTCTAACCACAATAAAAGTCTGATAATGACTTGTAATTATTAAAATATTGACCGGTCTGTTTCATTTTAAAGTTATCTGTGTCAACTAGAAGGACACTAAATGCATATTATGTCAATGAACTGTAGTGTTGTAAATTTATACTAGAGTTTATTCGTAATATTGTTAATGTTTATTTGAAACTAGCTTTTACCCGCGGCTTCGCTCGCGTCACAAAAGGATTAAAAGCCAATGTGACATATCCCACGCTGAGAACGAAAGTGACCGATTTCAAAATTTTGGTTTTGGTTAAAAGGATAGAGATATATTTCGGTCTCTTTGTCCCTCAACCGTTCCCTCCCCCTGCGCCCGAATCAAAGTGACGAAATCAGTGTTGCACCGTGAGATGTCATGACAAGACAAATATATTTCAAAAGAAATTCATAACTTTTGTTTCCATGTTTTAGTGTTATTGTAAAATGAACAGAAAATGCTTAATACGACGGACACATTTTCGCCTATTGCCAAAAATTGGCAATTTTGAGTTGAGTCACTTTCGTTCTCAGGGTGCGATATACCAATACACACAGCGCCATCTATACCAATACTTTTGTTTTCCCACGGGAATATCACATTTTTCCGGGATAAATAGTGCCCTATTATTTAATCGAAACTTCTAACTTTACGTCTGCAAAATTTCAAAGCAATCGGTTTAGTAGTTACGGCGTTAAAGTGGAACAAACAAACAAACTCACTTTCCGATTTATAATATTAGTAAGGATAAGTATTAGTAAGGATCTATACTAGGTGTCGCCCATAAACACCTGGAACATAAAGGGTGTTACAAGTGCGTTACTAGACTTTTAAGGATTAGGAATTTGAGGATTGTTGGGGATTCAGGGATTGTGGCATTGGGGAGGAGGGTAATTGGGCCTCCAAATTGTAAAACTCAACTAAATGCAACGGCACTTGGTGCTCATATCAAAGGTAAATTTAGGTATGAAAGTATGCCCAACTTGGAGCAGTATAAAACTTTATGGGTAAAATGGCTCCGGCTTTTAATGGAATAAGCCGGTAAACGAGCAGACGAATCACCTGATGGTAAGCAATCGTCGCCTATGGACACCTGGAACACCAGAGACGATACAATGCATTACCGGCCTTTGGGGGATTAGGAGTTTGAGGATCATTGGAGATTCAGGAATTGGGGAGATTGGGGAAGGGGAGGGTAATTAGGCTATCGGTAACCTCATTCACATGACGAAACACAATGCAAGTGTTGCTTCAAGTCGGTTTTCTGTGAGGCCGTGGTATGGCGCCGGTTGAGCTGGCCCATTCGTGATAAAGCATGGCTCTCCCACACTTAGGAAGTATCGAAATAGAAGTAGGAATGGGGTGGTTTTTAACCAGTAAGAAACTGGCACTTGCTCATGTCACCAAAGGCAGGAAAAGAAATTCAATAATTTTCCTGCCTCAAAATAAAGGATATGCCCTTTCGAAGATCAGTAAGTGCCCTAATTTATGTACTTCAATGTTTCTTTTTGTTACACACCAATTATTTAAATATTAAAACTCAACAGGCATAAAGAAACAAGGTTCAAAAAACTACAATGGAATTCTAATTAGAATACAAATTACTAAATTAATTACTTTTTTATACAAAAACTAATTTTATAGTCATTAACACAATATGTGATTTCAATAAGAATATAACTACATACTATATTATTGTGATTTCTAGATAACTAATACATTTTTTGTACAATAAGTGGAATTGCCTACAGTATAATACAAACAAGAAACAAAGAATAATTATCATATATGCATGATACTAAACAAAGGCGTCCATTTTTATTTATGTGTGGCATTTATCTTTTTTTTTCTCAAGGAACCATGCAAACAGCCTGTTTATTTTTAATCCAAGAAAAACCCATACAGCCTTGGTCATTATGTGGCAAAAATAAAACAAGAATTACCTGCTGTTATTTGCTTGTTGTGTTGGTGATACATCAGTGTATAGTAATGTTATCTCCCATCCATTCTGAGGAGTCCTTAGAAAATATATCCTTATCTTTCCATTGGCTAGTTTACGAAAACTTATTGCAATCGGGACCATAGTTGATAGGCATGATAACTCCTTCCGTAAGTCGTGTACGGCCTGCCGTACTTCGGCCCAGGTATATCGTTTCGAAGGTGGGCGAACATAGTCTACGGCAGCAGCCCCATCCCCAGCCCCTCTCACCTCCATAATATTAATTTCCATTAATTTTTACACTACCAAAAATCAATTGTCTTCCCTCGGTGAATTTTTATTCATGATGTAACAAAGAACAATAGATATGTCTTCACAGTCACCTAATTCGACTAGTTGAATGAATATTCAAATAGAGATCTCATTATAATATTGAAATTACGCTGATTTGATTTTTGTTTCACTAAAAATAGGGCCAACACACTCGTTTTTGACTTTTAGTTGTCTTGCCAAATGGTCGCTGTCGCTGACCGATCGCACTTCTATCACCGGTTGTAATCTTCACAACTCACTCATTTGTCATTCTCAGCTGTCAACTCGTATCAGAAACTGAAAACTATTCCAATGTTATGTTAAAAGATAAATAAATGAATGCAATTAGCCACTTCTACATTATTTCATTTATTTAACGATTTAAAGAGACATTTTTAAGAATTTCTTATTGAAAAATTATTAAACAATCTTTTTGCGAGATCTGAATGACTTTTATTCGAGTTTCACTCAGTCACATTATCATGTCTCACTGTGTCTCACTACACTAGTAATAAAAAAACTAAAGATACCCTAAATGTGGGTACTCAACAAATACACAGCAGCAGTCGCTTTTTAATTTCAATAATGCAACCTTATCTCAAACATTTTATCATCGTCATTTTTTCACGAGGTGTATCCAAACGTTTTTGTGGTTATTGCCAACATTACAAATATTTGGCAGTAACGTTCAGAAACCACATCATCCACGTAACAATTTAGAAACATTGATTCTTTCTAAATGTACAAACTAATATAAATAGATTCTACATAAATGATTTATTTAATTTTGCGTATTCCTATAACATTAATATATATTACATGAATTAACCATTTTATAAAAATGGAAACATACAGGATATGACAACATTTTTTATAATATTACTGCAGTTCCGGCAACAATAGCCCGCCGGCCGAACTGTCAAATGGGAAACATGTCGCATAGCTAACGGATCGACGCTATCGCTTGTTTTCTTTGCAATTTTGCCCGTCGCGAACATGGCACGAGTGTTAAATATAGTGCGGACTTGTGGTTTACTAACGTATATATTTTTCTATGTGCACGCAGTAGACAATAATGTCTCGGAACCACGGATAATTTCGTTAAAACTGGAGAGTAAAAAATGTGACAATGAAAATTGTAAATATTTAGTAAATATTAAGGGTGGCGAGTTTTTAGGGCATTATTCGTGGCGGTTGACCCCAGTGGAAGGTTCAGGGGGTGGTGATTGTGACGTCATATTCCCTGATTATGAGTTAAAGGAGGTTTTTACGGCGCAGTGGTCGACGAAACTCGAAATAGTGTTGCCTATTTTGGTTGATAGCAATGTATATTTTTGTGTTTACAAAAATGATGTGAAGAACAGCCCGTTTGGGGGGCGGTGGGTGCACCAGGGCGCGGAGCATTACTTGGACGTTAGAGAAGATTTGTGAGTATTGTTTTTTTTAATTATAATAAATCTTCCAGAGGTATTTTCTATTTTTAAATTTAGTTTATTTTTTTATTCATGCGGTAGCAAGTAAGAATAATTAATTTACCATAAATACCGACGAGAACTGCATTCTTAAGATTTCTGTGTCAACCTAGGTCATGCACATTGCCTTTATTTTTGCTATACCTGAGCTGATTTTGATTATAACTGAGCAAGTAATTACTTAGTAATATAGAATAAAATGGTATATATTTTTATGTTTTCTACAATCTAGACACTTCCAGAGCCACACTAAAAACCAAAAGGGCCACCCCCTTTTCCCAAAAAGGGGTGTAATAGAGACCCAATTTTTCTAATTTTTTTTATAATAAGTAAATAAATAAAATGTTTATTTGGTGTCAAAAGCCAGAAACATTTATATTACCCTGAAATATTTAAAATACAATAACATTGTGTTAGGGTTCATTAATATTATGGTTTAATCTAATTATTTAATCTGTATTTTTATTGTGTAATAGAACCTCTTTGTGATTGACCATAAACAAACCTACAAAAATGAAACGGACTTGGATTCTCGAAATGTCAACTGACGACATCGAGAACGCGGTTTTTAAAAAAAATAGAACGGGCTTGAATTCTCGAAACGTCATTTGACGATTTCGAGAAGGCGGTCGGAAAAGGCGGGAAAACGGAGAGGATTTTGAACGGATGGCGTCATTCGGTTGGCGGCACAATTGTCGAGAGGATATGTAATATTTGTTTTATTTGTTCTAAATGTTTTTGGAGGATAATAATATTCTGTAATAACGATATTAAGTGGTTTCCTTTATAATCTCCTTTTCTGGACTTCATAAACTGCAAGTTGTTGATGCAACGCCTCGGTGACTTTTTATAATTGCTTATAAATCTAAAG